CTTCAGAAAGATATCTAAAACAAATCCAGGTCTGTTTTTTCTGAAATATTACTCAACATATCCAGTTAAAAAAATTACACATCATTCCTTTAGCTAACAAAAATAATCTCTAAATTATTTATTCATTTAGAAAATTTATGTAGCTATCTTATGCACCATAACTCTGGGTGGCCTATAAACAGGAACAACAGCAAAACATTCTAAAATAAATCTACCATGGAAACCTCCGGGGCCCAAATAATATACTCCTCCACACATCAACAGTCAACTTCACTGGGCTTCACCCTCATTCTACCCCAATGCTTGAGCTCTTCAGGGTCCCCTCAAGGGCTAGAAGAGGGGTTCTTGCCAGATCTCAGTGGGAAGGCATTCCATAGAACAGGATCTGCTACAGAGAAGGTGTGCTTCCTAGATCTCACTAACTGGAAACATTTAAGGGAAGGGACTTGGAATATACCCACTCTTCATAACCTGGTGAAATGAGAAGATACTGTCAGTCACAGAACAGGGTTCTTACTAAACTACAGGGGGGAAGATAAGCAAGCAGGAGTCCCAACTGATCCCTTGGCCCAATCTCACAAAGTCTCATATCTGGCTATCTCCGAAGCAGCACTTCTAGTCACTCCACTCAGTGCCATGCTCCAAACCAGGTCACACTTTATTAGAAAGGGAACTCTCCCAAATTTTGTAAAGTTAATTTTAAATGTACCTGAGAGGACAGTAGAACTGGTCTTTTTGGAGATGCAGCAATTCCTTTAACCTCCAAATCCATCTGAACTTCTAACTTAAATGGGAGCTGAAAAGTAAAATTATAAAGTTGACTGGAGAGGGATGATCAGATGCTATAAGAAGGGTTTCAACAAAATAAGAGGGTCCCTCCCTCTCCCCCCCCAACTCACCTCACAGTGTTGTAGTGGGGAAAATAGGAGGGGGGAGGAATATTATGTTCCCTGTCTTGAGTTATTTAATAATAATTAATATCCGACTTGCACTAAAAATTCAAATCAAAGCTGGAGAGCAAGAAGAAAGCAGTAAGTTCTACCCCTTGGAGGACCTGTTGGAAGTATCCATATTTTCTCAGCCAAATAGAACAGAACAGAACCTGTTGTCTCGAGAACCGGCTAGCTAGGAAGTCAACTGATTTTGTAGCGAACTAAGCAAAACGGAGGCTTTCGCGGATAGGGACAAACAAAGCTTGATTTCCCTGCAGCAGGTCAACACCCATCAGACAAAATGCCTTGCGCGCCGAAAACGAGAGGCAGACGCTTCCTTCTTACATGCGTTGACCCAGCTTGTTTCTGTAAAATAACACTTAACAGGTGTACAAAGTCAGGAAAGCGAAGGGCGAAATAGGCATTTCCAACTGTTTTCACTTTACAGCTAGAATGAGGCGCTTCAGGCTTGTTTTTGTTTATGTTTTTTTAATGGCAGAATATTCTACCTGCGTCTCATCGCCCTTGCTGGGGGACGCGCGCACGTACACACACTGCCATGGTTGCCAAGGTTCCCTTGTAAACAGGCCGGAACGTTTTCTTTTCCTCCGCGTCACGCTTTGAAAATTAGAAAGTGATCTCTAAACGGGGAAAGGACGCGAGTGACCGACGCTTCTTTTTTTTCCACCTACGTTTTTCTCGCTCGGTCTCCAGCTCTCGCTCCTGCCGTCCTTTCTTCGCGTCTCTCCACGAAGAGTCTGATGCGCGCTCCTAACCGGGTTTCCCTTTTCCTGATTTCCGTCTGGTTTTATTTAGGAAGAACCTGTTTGTTCCGATGTACGTTTCTCCCAGGTTGTGCTGTCTTCCGCTAAACAGGGATCCCGGTAATTTCGAAAATTATTATAGGGCAGCAGATTATAAGAATTATTCTACACCGGTGTTCGTTAATCCGTAAGGATTCTGTTTATGGGATATTTTTTTATAATTCCTTCATCTTAACAATTGGCCATTGTCTGGAACTTCAGTGTGACAAATGAATAAATTTGGACAGACCCAGCTTTCTCAATCTTTCTCTATTTTGTATGAATAATTTTATTAAAAGATTGTACAAAGGTTTTAAAAACTACAGAAACATAGAAATATAAAAATATTATAAAAGAAAATTAAAAGTAAAAACCCAAGAAAACATAAAAAGCAGCAAATTCTGATGTACTTTGCAGCAGTTAAGCAATTACTGTCTTCACTCTCATATTGCACATCAGTTCCCTTTTTCCCATAAACAAAACTTTTAAACAAATCACAAAATTAGTTCATTTTTATCCATTTTCAGCAAAGTTTATAAGATTTCCAGTTATAAAAATAGTTGTACTCTTTTCTCATCCTTTACCCAAAGTTTCTCCTAAGGGTAATACGCTCACAATAAATGCCAAATATGCTGCAGCAAATGCAGATGATCATTTGTTTTTGATTGCATAAATCAGTGGTTCTCAACCTGTGGGTAAGGACCCCTTTGGGGGTCGAACGACCCTTCCACAGGGGTCACCTAAGACCATCGGAAAACACATATTTTCAAAAAAATACGGAAAACAAAATAATTTTATGGTTGGGGGTCACCGCAACATGAGGAACTGTATTAAAGAGTCGCGGCATTAGGAAAGTTGAGACCCACGGGCATAAATCAAATTGTTACATGGACTATTGCCAGTAGTTTATAGCAATCCTCCACAACCTGAAGTTCATTATGTATATTGTTTCAGTTTCCAGAATTCTCAGCAAAGCCTATTAATTTATGACTAAATTGGTGTGAACTCTTAACAACTATATAGATTTTCTCCATGATGACAGATCTCTTAATTTGTACCTAACCCATTTCTTTAGGTCTTCAAATCTTCATTCATTGCCACCGTAACCGAGTTCATTCACTTGACTGCTGCTCATCCTCTTCTCTTTCCACCCAGGATTACAGCTTTGTTCAGAAAGCTAGGTTTTTGTAGGTATCCACAGGATAATCTGACACTGGCTATTTGTCCATATTGCTTAAAAATCCTGACAGCTAAAGTCTATACATTAGGAGACCATTCATACTGGCAAAGCAGTCCTAAATTGACTTACTATATTTTTAGTTCTTAAACTTAGAAAGGCTGTAGAAGACAAATAATCCATTCCAAATTGATACAAAATCATTCTGACTGATGTACAATACTCTTGACTTTTCTACCATGCAACCCATAATTTGATTTATGCAATTAAAAACAGTCTATATGCCACAGAACAGGGCTTGGCTATATTTATCATCATTTTCAAGAGCATCTGGAAAGATACAACGTATTATTTAAAGAACTATAGTACTGGCTTATCAATTTAGTAGATATTATTAGCAAACTCCATGTCAGATTTTATACTAGAAACTTTGTTGGGGGAAGAATATTTTAGCAGTCGTATAGGCAGGCCTTCAACCAAGCCAATCCACTCTCATCTGGGCTTAAAACTTTACAATAAAAAAATATGTTGCCAGTGTTAACTTTCAATAAAGGACAAAGTATCCCATTACCTAAAATTATATTTTTCATTATAAGACAAACCCCTCTAACATTGTGGTAACTATTGAATTTCCTGGCAAGGGAGCACGGTTGATAAATAACTCTGTTATATATTCTCCAGAGTCACTGCTGCCCTTATTTTATAATAATAACCATGATAAAGGATAAGGAAAAAATTCTGGACAAACTCAATGTCACAGAATTTCTACAAAGAGGGAAATTGCCCTGCTACCTCAATCAATTTATGAATATCAAAAAGTTTTATAGGGATTCAATTTGCTACTTCACCATCATCAATAAATAAATAAATAAATTATGAAACCAGCTTTGAAAAAAGAATCTACCCTTGTAGAGTGTATGGTCATGTCCTGCTTTATGACTTCTACAGAAAATGCCATAATATTCTTAGCAACTATTCTCACATTATTCTGAGAAAACAGATGGGCGATATCACTGCCCAGAGCCCCTCTTTGAGGGAGATGAGCAAATAAATAAATAAATAGTCAGTCAGTCAATTAATCATCTATGAGGATTTTGGAACTGCATAACATGGTCAAATTTGCATCAATAGCCTGCAAAAATCAGCAGATTAAACAATAGCAAAACACCTTACTAAATTAAGCACAATAGTAGAATCAGGATAACGTGTTTGGCAATTCATCATATAATTAGCTATCATAATGCATGCATTGTATTTAACTGCTCCATTTTATATTTTCAATACTAATCAGTTACAAATAAAATCTAGGGCTTATTGATATTTAATGAAAGGTAGGTAGTTTGCCTCAAACATAGGTAGATTTTCTCAAAGAAATAAACCTGTTTCCACTGTTTCCAAAAAAGAGAATATCAGAATCCATACTAAAGTTACATGAAATGTCAAGTAACTAAATAATTAATACTGGTACATTCCATATTTGTTGCAAATAATTTCTGCAGAGCCGTATAACACAAATACAATATTTTTATGCCCATGCCCACACTTTAATAACTTTAAAAGTGAAACTGTGATTATGATACTGGATAGAATATACACTTTCTGTGCAGAATATGCAGAAATTATTTTATTCATAATAAATAGGAAATGTTCATAAATATATCATTTTAAAATATACAGCAATTATTGTGAATATATTTTAAAATTTTAAAGTGTGTTGTATAGTATGTCCAATATTCATTAGTTCGTTCATTCGTTCCTAAGACGTCTTCTTAACCCAGTATCTAATTCTGTTGTATCTTGATTAGTTACTTCCATCTTCTTTGGTTCTTCCATTGTGCTGAGTAAGCATTCATGATCAAAACGCTGATACTTTTTTACACTGTAAGACTCTTCCATATCTTCAAATAAGGCATCATGCTCACATTTCTTGTAAATATTCTCATCTATTTTTACTTCTGGATGTTCGCTGAATGACTCTATAAGACCTTCAAGCTTCTCTTGGCACGTATGGTGGCTGATATCTTAATATATAAAAGGGGAAACAGTAACATTAAAATTAAGTTACTGTTTTTGCAATTAAACCAATTTACTACCAGAAAATTAGAAACAAGATATTTTGTTTTCCTTATAATAGAGAATGTATTAAAATAGTTTGATTGATCACCAGTTTTTATATTATCTATTAAATCATAAAGCAAGTTTTTGCAGTTTGTTCTAAAAGCAAGTTAATAAGTCAGTTAATAGGTCATATATAATATGGTAGTGAAGTGGTAAGAAACAGTAAGAACTCTGGTCTTGCTTGGAACTTTAGAATAGATCAAATGGAACAAGCCAATTCATATGCACAAAAGAACATGCAGATTAGTGCAATACTTGTTAGAGTAGGAAAACTAAAATAATCAAGATATCTAGTAGTAATTTATTAGAGAGTGTTAAAATCTTCCAAAAGTACCTTGTGGTTTCATGACTGATTTGTCTAATCCACTTTCTTTCATCAGCTTTCTAATCGACTCAAGTTGTTCCATAATTTCATCTTTCTGCTCAGAAGCCAAAGTATTAATACTGAAAAGCCAAAAAGCTGGATCAGAATTAATCAGGACAAAAAATAATTACCATTTTATTAAAATAATATTGAATTCATTAGTATTATTGGTAAATTTAGATCAACCACATTACCTATATTTTACTTAAATGAAACTAAATTTCAAACTAAGATTACTTGTTCATTTGTAATCAGCCCCACACAGTTTTAGGTGAAAACCAAGCTAATATAAAATTCATTATATTTCTGTCCACTGTATTAAAGCAATTCCAGGATTTTTTACATATAGTACTAAAACGCAGATTAGTACTATATCCAAACCAGCTTATAAACTTAAAATCGAATTACTTTTTACATGGAATTGTTGAATAATATCAGTATAGTCTTTAAAAGTACAAATTCCTTCAATTTGTCAGTCACTACATGATTTTAATTATATTAAAAAGCCATTGCTGCAAAAGTTCTAAAATACAAATCTGTGGTTATTTTGATAATGCAGAAACAGAATCCAGCCATATTTACTTTAAAGTAGGCATAAGCAACTATAGATATTTTACATACTTGTACTTGTACACACAGGTATAGCAAAAGAAATAAAGTACATTTGATTTACAGTATTTTTATTTTTTCTATTTAACGGCATAATTAATGTTAAAAATTGTAAACTACCTCAGTAATGTGGTAGTGGTATAAGTTTTTCAAAAATAAATTCAAATTCTGTGCTTGAAAGAAATGGTTAAAAATGATGGCACCTTTAAATTCTAATTATCATTCCTTTTTGCCCCTAAAAGGGGTAAAATTGTCTCCGTGAAACATATTTGTAATAAACATTGCTAAAAATAAGAAGAAATGTGTCATTTGTGATATATTGGCATTATGTTCTTATTTTAAGTTCACAACCATGATCTCTCAGATCTCTTTCCCACATCTGAAATAAACAACATGTAACATTTAAATGAAATGCTATGATTTATTCTATTTTGACTCACCAGCTTGAAAGTGGATCTAACTGAGTCAATAATGAATTTAACATTTTTTCTGTTTGTGCAAGATGTTGCTCCAATTCCAAAAGTTGATGCTCTGAAGTGAGAATATACACTTTTTAAAACCTAGCATAAACTGAACATCTTTAAGGTGAAACAAA